ATATCATACCAACCTTCAATGTTTGCTCTGAGTTTTGCATCGAATATTTCTGCTGCTATCATAATAGTATATTATACTCATCCTTCTTTGCACAGGAGCCTTGGTGGCACAATGATTAAGCACTCAACTACTAACCAGGAGAGAGATATGGCAGTCTGCTTCTGTAAAGATTTCAGGCAGTCCCAAGTTATTAGGTACAACCCCATAGTTAGGAACCAACCCTGATAAAGCCTATTATATTAAAAATTTAAAGTACATACAACAGTTCATAATAACAAACATATGACTTTTTATGCATATCAAAACATTATATAATTACTATATTATTATGTTAAAGATACTTTAGCATATCTGGAAGTGTTTCTTTAATTTTTTTATACATAGAAAGGTATACTATGTACTGTATATTAAGACAAACGTTTCACTAACTGACATTAGACTCAAACTGTACCTAAATGTTCTGACTTAAGTACAAGTTCAGCTTAAACAGATTTAGGAGTGGAACTCATTCATAATCTGGGGACTGTCTATATAGCCTTGGAAACTTTATGGGCAGTTCCGCTCTGCCCTGTAGGGTCACTGAGTCAGGATTGACTCAGTGGCAGTGGGTTTGGTTTTTTGGTTATCCACATCAATCTCAGGATAATTTATGATTTGACTCTCATGTCTTCTTGGGTCTTTTTTATTTTTATAATTCTCAGGGACAGTGTCATGTAATAAAATAGTGACAAGGGTACTGCTTTCAATAACCACTTGTCAAATTAGTGATTGGTCAATCTACTTCCATAGTGATACTGCCTTGGAAGACCAAGGAGGGGTCGCTATGAGTTGGATCTGACTCCACGGCAGTGACTTAGGGTTTGTTTTTTTTTTTGTATCAGATCTTCAGGAGTACAAGAGTATACTGTTAACATGCGTGGCTACTAACGGAAAGGTCTGTGGTTCAAATCCACACAGTCACCTCACAAGAGAGGCCTGGCAATCAACTTTCAAAAAATCAGCCACTGAAAACCCAATGGAACACAATTCTAATCTGACATACATGGGGTTACCATGAGTTAGAATGTACTCAATGGCAACTGGTTTGTTTTTTGTTGTTTTTATCAGGTCTTCTGGCTTTGAAAATCTCTGTGGCTTTTAAGGCCACACCCACCCTATGCCTCCTGCTCACACTGTCATCCTCTCCTTCCTTCCTGACATTTCACTCTGCTTCTGTGCATAAGCAGCAAGCAAGCAACCCCTCTCTTGTGCTCCAGATGTCCAACTCCTAAGGTCCCTGATGATTTCATGCTGTTCTGCTCCTCATCAGGCAGTGTCCATACAGTCTTCCACAACACAAACCATGACAAACATCAAACCTTCTTAATATACTCACCTTCTTAATAATGCAAACAACTTGTAGTTTCTGGCAAGTGCTAACGTGCAATCTATTGACTGGTATCCTTGGGAAAGCAGAAGAAAATTCCCAAAATCTAGCCAGTGGAGGGAACTTCTTGGTCTTTTGTGTAGCTTTCTTTTCCAGTCACAGGAGCCCTGGGCTGACACCCGTCATTGTGGCCATGTCTCTTAGCCTCTCAGTGTTGAAAAACTTGCCACACCAACAATAATTCGGTTTGTTTTTGTTCTCCTGAGCACTAGATTACACCAATCTCACTCTTAAAACCATGAGACACGTGATTTAAAATAATCCCAGTTTAAGAAATGCAAAGATCTTTAAAGCTTTATTGCCATGCATCCAGAGCATATCAACACAGGTACTGGGGAGCAGTGAGAGCTGAGTGAGTTCATTTACACCTGAAAAGATACACAGCACATATGTGAGAATGAGATCATAGAGAATTCAAAAGCTATTGAACACCACTGCCTGGAAGGCAAATCTACCTTATTTGTTTCCCTTAACTCCTTTCACTTACTATATGGTTTCCTGGTCTCTTGTCCCTGACAGTTTGGATAAATTAGCAGGAGCTGCTGAGATGCAGAGTGCCTGGGCATCACAAGTCTTCATACTGTTTTTTAGGGAAGAGCATTTGGAGAATCCCTATTGTTTGATTTCTCAGGAAGGTCTTGCATAATACAGGAAGCTTATGTAACACAAGGGAAGCCATAGCAAGGGTTAGCTTCCAGGTAGTTCCTCACTTCTGAGGTATGAAAGGCCATTGTGAAGACTGGGGCCTGTGTTCTCATTAATTTATCTCATCTAGCCTTTCTCTCTCTCTCTCTTTCTCTCTCTCTCTCTCTCTCTCTCTCTTTTTCTCTCCCTCTAATGTCTTTTCTCCAAAGAACAAACAAGAAAATCTTGGTGGTGTAGTGGTTAGGTGTGCAGGCTTTGGTGGCAAGCTGTCTGCAGGATCTCCCAGCTCTGCCACTTAATAGCTATGTGACTTTAGGAGAATTTTTCAACCTCTCTATGCCTCATCTTTTTCAACTGTAAAATAAGATGATAATACAAAAAAAGAAAAAAAGTCATTTCCAACTCATAGCAACCCCTTATTGGGTTTCTGAGGTGGTGTCTCTACAGAAATAGATTGCCCAGTTTGCTTCCAAGGAGGGGGTGGTGGGTTTGAACTGCCAGCCTTCTGGTTAGCAGTCAAATGCCTTAGGCACTATGCCACCAGAGTACCTTCCTAAGGAGCTCTGGTTGCATAGCACCAACCACTCCTCAGAAGGAAGATTGGGCAGTCTACCTCTGTAAAGATTTACCACCTCAGAAACCCAAAGTGGGTTGCTATGAGTTGGAATTGACTCCATGGCAGTGAGTAGTTTTTGTTATAGGGTTGTTGAAGGAGCTCTGGTGGTGCATTGGTTAAACCAGTCAGCTGCTAACCAGAAGGTTATTCAGTTCAACCCACCAGCTGTGCCACAGGAGAAAGATGAGGCATTCTGCTGCTGTAAAGATTTACAGCCTTGAAAATACTATGGGGCAGTTCTACCCTGTCCTATAGAGTTGCTATGAGTCGGAATTGACTCAATGGTAGTGGGTTTGTTTTTTTTAAAATAGAATTATTGTGAAATGTTAAATAATATGGTACAGGTAAAATGCTTATGTGTCTGGTCATAAACAATACTGTGATTGAGTGGAGACTCTACCTGGGAATAGCTACATTTGGAGTGAGTCTACCTGCAGTGTCCCAGTCATTGTTCTAATCCAACTTCTCATCTAATAACCAATTTAATTCTCACAACTTCCCTATTAGGAAAGTACTGTGATAGTTCCTAGTTTTACAGATGAGGAAACCAAGGCACAGAGAAATTAGGTGACTTGACTAACATCTCAGAGCTAATAAATGGTGGGACTGAGATTCTGGCCAGTTCATGTGATTTCAGAGTCTGGACTGTTATCCTTTAAATAAAGAGGAAAGTTTTGAATAAAATAAATTTGAAGTGTTTTATTTAAAACAGTTCTTCTCAGACCTGAGCATACATCAGCATGCCCTGGAGGACTCATTAAAATACAGATTGCTGGTCCCGTCCTCAAAGTCACCCAGAGGTCTGGGTGGACCTGAGAATTGGTTTTTCTAACATGTTTCCAGGTGATGCTGATGCTGCTGGTCTAGGGTCCAAATTTTGAGAAACACTGATTCAAAACATTTATCAAAAATATATATAATCTTGTCATCTAGCTCATGGATTATTTCACTTGGCAAAATGTACCTATCTGTTCTTACTATTCTGTAAAAACCATAATTAAAATGTTGATTTTCAGGATAGCTATAATTTCTCATAGTCACCACAGTGTTGGTTCATCAATTTATCATAACTTAGTGTTTCAGAAAAATGCAAACAAAATGCCTTTTGTTTTCTTTTTGAAGAAAAATATTCAAGTGACATAAACATTAACACACATAAGACTTAAAACTAAAAGGAACTGATAATGATGAACATACAGTGGTTATTATACTCATTAATACCAGCATTTCACCCCTCCCCCCATGTACAGGTACATTTCTTTCTCTTTGAAAAACTGTTCCAAATCTCTTACATTCACAAACTACCCTAATCAATACTCCATCAGTTGGAAGATATTTAACAAATCATATCTCTACTTTAGAACACAAGTTTCATATTCATCATCATAAAATAAAAAGAAGTTAGGATGATTATGTTGCAGAGAAACAAAGAAAAAAAATCAAGAATTTGTGTTCAAATATCTGAGAATGTATTGGCAGAGTTTTGTCCCAGGGTTTATTAACATTTACCTGAAACGAGAGGTAGCATTAAAAGTAGGAGATACTTTTCTGACTTGATAAATTCTTATTAGGAATTTTGCCAAAGAAGTTCTCACATCCTAGGGAGTTGGGTAGAGGGCAGTAATGGTTAAGTGGTAGAATTCTTACCTTCCATGCTGGCGACCAGGGTTTGATTCCCAGCCAGTGCACCTCAGGTGCAGCCACCACCTGTCTGGCATATTGAAAAGGTTTCAGTGGAGCTTCTAGACTAAGACTAGGAAGAAAGGCATGGTGATTTAGTACCAAAATCAGCCAGTGAATCATAGTGGTCCAATCCTGTTGTGCACTGGGTCACCATTAGTCAGAGCCAACTTGATGGCAACTAACAACAACAGGGAATTGGATTATGTGACCCAAAACTCACATCCTATGGGACGTTCCTACTGTGGAGACATGTAAGAGTCGCCTCCTGTCATTCCTTCCCCAAGCCTGCCCAGTTGGATCCTGACTTTCACCTGCATAAGGTGAAGGTGCAGCTTTAAAGTGGGAACTTTATAGATAGCTTTCTCATGCATTTTCTCACACTCCCATTTGGACCGATGATGAGGGCTGACAAGTTCATTCCTATAGCCATCCACCTCATACTGCATGCCTGCCATCAAACTCTGTTGCAGGCAAACACATCTCAGCCCAGGGTGCTCACTTTGAATACTGCTAAGACCCCACTGTTTAGTAGCACACCACATCTATTTAATTGTCTTTTTGCTGCTGTGCTCTTTCTTTTTTTTGTTCCTTGCAATGACACTGAGAAGCCTCCTGTATTGTTTCTTTCAGCCAGTAATGTTAAAGTAGAGACTCAGAGTGATGAAGAGAATGGGCGTGCCTGTGAAATGAATGGGGAAGAATGTGCGGAGGATTTACGAATGCTTGATGCCTCAGGAGAGAAAATGAATGGCTCCCACAGTGACCAAGGCAGCAAGGCTTTGTCAGGAGTTGGAGGCATTCGACTTCCTAATGGAAAACTAAAGTGTGATATCTGTGGGATCATTTGCATCGGTCCCAATGTGCTCATGGTTCACAAAAGAAGCCACACTGGTAAGGCCTGGCATAGTTTTTTCCTTTAGTGTCCTGGAAAAGGTCTGAGGGGGTGTTGAAGAGGCAAATATTGTGTTTTAGTTGAGTGTTTTTGAGCATATTTCAAATTGACTGACAACCCCATGGTTGCAAGTGATTGACTCCAAGAAGGGTGGCATATCTGTTTTATCTTGAAACAACATTTAAAAGGATTTCTAAACATTTACCGATTCTACTCAATAAATTACTGCAATAATTGAAAGGGAAAGTTAATAGCATCATGTACAAGTCCTGATATAGATATTCTAGATCAAGACAGATATTATAAATGCTAAATAGTTTCACCTACACTCATGTGTTCCATGCAGTGAGTAGTCCACTCTTAAAGCAAACAACAAAGGCACATATTGAAAAATCAAAATTTATTCCTCAGAGTTTCCACTGAGATGCTATTAGTAAAAATAAGCATTTTAATTGGATTCAAACTAAAAAGTCTTGGCTTCTAGAAACATCAGGGAATTAAGAAACACCAGCATAATTTAATTTTCTAGAAAGAGTTCAGATCAGCTTTCAGAATGTCTTGCCTTATAACAGATAAGATTTTGAATAAGATGATTTCATTCCCACAAATTTCTATCTCAAATTGGTGAATAATTTAATGCCAAAACTCCTATCTTATTGAATGGTTGATTGAAGGCTTCAGATGTAGAGGAGAATATAATATTCTGTATCCAAAAATGAAGGAATAAAGTTAAGTGTCAGATAGTGACCTCAACTCACACGGTATTCTCAAATTCAAGGGTATGGGTAAATATAGCGTAGACAGACCCAACTGGCCCACATTCTGCCCTGTGTTCTGCATCCCTAATAACATGTTGACTGAACAATCAGCTACTTTTACAGCAAAACTGTTGAGTCACCACCACTAATGATGGTAAAGAGTCTTAGAAATAAAATATTAATGGGATGAATTTTACCTTTAACTGTAAGAATGTGGTTTCTTTTGAGTTGAAGAGAAACTTGACTCTTACTTCTATGGAAAAGGGCCCTAAAGACAGGCAAAGCACAATACAATCAGCAAGTCTAATGGTCACTGAAACTGTTAATATAAAATATATAATCCCTGATCCATCGCTGCCTATGAGGTAGCATTACAACGCACTAAAAAAACGCACTGCCGTTGAGTTGGATCTGACTCATAGTGACCCCTCCTTGGGTTTCCAAGGCAGTATCACTACAGAAGTAGATTGCCCAACCTTCCTT